ATCCCCATTGGCACCATGGAGCAATATCTGTAACAAATTCAATCCATCTTAAAACTTCTGACTTTTTGGTAAACAAAAAACATAGTAAAAGGAATTACTAAAATAGTTAATGCTAAAATGGTAAAACAGTCATGCAAATGCTCCCAATCCACCAGTCCAAGCTAAGAAGAACTCTGAATTAAGATATCCTTGATAGGCAGTCTGGTAACCTGATTACAATTCCTTTGTCTTTGCTATTTTCTTTTGTTCTTTCACTGTGTTAACAAGTGACAATACAAATAACAATAACTCCTAGCCTACAAATTTGACAAGACACCAAAATGTGCCAGTTAATGCCCAACAAAGTCACTGTGTGATGTGTATATATTCGGGACTTACAGTAACACCCAAGGGCTTCGGGCAACCTTCACAGAACATCAGAGTCTTTGTCAATTTCTTCCCACCTTGCCCAGCACTGCCATGCACTTCAAGAAACTTCTCCACATGGAACATGTCACAAAACCCTAGTTTTGGTGATGTGAGATGATCTATTGAAGGGACTATTTGTGCCCCAGTGCAGCGGGCTATTCGCTCTAAAAGTGGCCTCTTAATATTCAAAACAAGTGAGATGTCTTTCGCAAGAAGGTAATCTTGAGCATACCGAGATACAGACTTCTCCACCAAAAGAACACTTGGGTGATGTGAATCTATCTTTGCTACTGCCATCTTCAGATGATCCATTTCCTAATAAAGGGATAGTCCATAAGAAGGAGAAACATCCAAGATTACTAAATGAATAGGAAAGATAAGTGTGTGATAGAAAACATATGCAGGGTTTGATCGCTAATCAAAATCCTACAAATGCAAAGCTTTAACGTACAACACAAATAAACGGAAAAGGTAAAAAGAACCTGCTGCAACAAAGTATCGAAACTTGACAAGAGGTTTGAAACACGCTGATATTCCAAAGCTCCTCCAAGGATTAAAAAGCGCGGTTTTTCTATTTTTGATGTCATTCGCCGATGAGCCACATTTTTCTTACAAACAACTCCTTTAACTACCGTACTGAACAAAATGAAATGAAAACCCATCAACAACTAATGGATTGAATAATTTTCGCATGTAACAGGACATAGATATACTATAAAAGTTTAGGAACCATTATAAATTTGGTCTAATGAAATAATACTGCACAGGAATATGCCTCACACTGCTCAGAATGGTGAAAGAATAAACTTTAGATCAAAAAGATTTACCTATCAGTTCGACGCCCACAAGCTATGCATTTAACCTTCACATATCCCCCAGGGTCCATTCCTCCACCCTTGCTTGTATCTGGCTTGAGAAGTGTGGCAGCTTCCCACGACAACGAAGTAATTATGTCCAACCAGCTCTCATTGTTGCCTTCATCACCCAGTGGTAGATTTTCAACCTGCAAAAGCTGAGATACCAAAGCTCTAAAATGACCTTCCACCACATTCTTCATCGCCTTCCTGTGCTCCTCAATTGACTTCTCCCTCGTACGACACTCCCCATTACCAAAGCTATGTGAAGAACCCAGGTAACCCCACTCCCCTACACCACCACCAGAACCACCACCATCATAATCGTCGTCATCAAATAAGACAGCTTCTCTCTCATCTTCTTCGTCCTCAGGCTCCGGAGGGAGCCAAAGTAGCCCATTGTTCTCGAAATCCACAGGTTCTGTATTCGTGCTTTGCAGGTCATATGGAGAAGTTCCACATTCATCGCCATTATCGTGTGCGTATGGTTCTTCCTCAATCTTCTGAATTCCTACTGCATCCTCTGTATCAAAATTCCCAGGTAATAAGGAACTCGTGTTATCTCCATCAAGATGCACATTCTGGGGTCCATAGACGCTAGCAAATTCCTCGATAGTGACTGCACCATAATAGTCATTGCCATGAGAGAGATGACTTGGTTCTGAATCTAGACGATAAACTCCATAGTCATCATCCTCATCATCACTCCTGGTATCAGACGATAAGTAAAAACAAGCAATGGATTACCTTATAAAGAGCCAAATATAAGGATATGAGATATGAGGACAAGAATGAATAATCATGGTTAGAAACTTAAACGTAAAATTCATTTATATGACCTGACACATACATGTATCACATACTCGCAGGCAACATTAACATTAAATGGAGACAGAATGACGGGAAAGATATTTCACAAAAACAGAAACTCTATTCACATACCAATCCATGATTGGTATTCTTTTTTCAGACGTAAACAAATGCCTTACACGGACACTTGAAAACTCATTTGAAACTAATGAATTTGTGAAGTACACGGAAAAGCTATTCAGTGATAGCAGGAGATACCTGTTCAAGCAAAAGCCATATTGATTTGGAGAAGGCTCGGCCATGGCTACATCAGAACTAATGCTCGTCTGCGATGTCACATTGTCTTGCTGTACTGGAACTGAATCAATTTGGGAAGATGATTGACTAGGGCTACGACCAGAACTATATGGCACGTGCTGGTAAGGTCCGGTCGAATAAGGGGTAGAACCAATAGTGCTGCTGCTGCTGTGGCAGGTGCAGCTGGACTTGGTGCTTGCCAAACTTGTCGCAGACGGTGATGGACTGAGACCAGGGCTGGCTGCAGGGGCGGCCCCATTATCGGGTGCCGCTACCCCTTGCTCCCATTGCTTGAAGCAATAATAACAGACCCTAATCCGCTCCCAATCTTCTCTTCCAGCCCTTGGCTCATCAGACGCCGCAGGAATAGAGTTTGCAGTACACTTAGCACAGAAAACTCGGCCACAAAGTCGACAATGATGCCTTCGGTTAAATATTGTGAATTGAGAGTCACAGTCATAACATACCCTACAGCTTTGATCAGGCATCCAAAAGTCCCTGGACACATTGGGCGGCTCGGACCTCCTGGGGATCCAAGACCTGAATATGTCAACTAACTCGGATAGTTTGTTGTCGGGAGTGCCCATCAACAACTACCCCACCCGAGCCCTCTCATGATGGCAGGATCATCTTTGTAAGCTCTCCCTAAACAGAATTGCAACTAAATCACCTGATAACTAATAGAATCCAAATAAGCATAACAATTGAAAACTTCAGATATTCGGAACTCAAGAGCTCATCGAAATTGAAATGTACACATACAAAACGCCATCTGAAATCATAATATCAATCACAATCACAGAATTCAATCCAAAACACAAATTTAAGCTGAGAGTTAAAAAAAAAGCATCAATCTTTGCAGCTAGCAAAAGGGTTGCATGCAAAAAAGCATAACTTTTAAGCTTCATTTCTCATGGTATAAAAGAAAAGCAGCAAAGATTTACCAGAACCAGAAGTTGGAAGCAGTAAATTCAAAACCCCATTTGGCTAAAGTCCCCAAATTCAAGTGCTTTTGCAAACTGAGATTCTGAGAAATCACCAGAAATTCCAAAAGCTCAATCCTTCAACCCAAAAGTACTTTCCTTTCTTCTTCAATTGCAACACGTCTCTGCAAAAATACCCCAAAAACCAAAACCCTAATCAATCAAACAAGAAGGCACAAAATCTCCGATAGACCCCACCAGAAACTATAAGCCCGTCTTATGTGCAGAATATTTATAATTTTATATGGGTTTTATTTTCGGGATAAAATCGTTCATACAACAGCAAACCTGTTGTTTTGTATTATCCGTAACAATAATATTATATAAAACAAAATTACAAAAGCCACAGAAAAAATATAAATTAAAAAGGAAGAAAGATATTGACTTTAAAAAAAAATGGAAGAAAGATACAGAAAGGTGAAGTGTCAACCGCCACTTGTAACTGTAATTCCCGCATTTTGGAGCTCCTACTTAACGTTACTCTATAAAATTTAATTTTTCACCTTCTTTCTCAATTTTTTTTTTTTTATAATTTTGATTACAAGCGAGATTATTCATAATATACAGGCTAGTTAGGGGTTGATCATTTTTCTTTAAAATTGTTTCTGCTCTGTTGTAAGAATAAACAGTTGCAAAAAAATCATCTTTCTGACAAGTATGTGTAGAACTGTTTTAACTTTCTACTACTTTTTCAAGATGTTTATTTTAAAATAATTTAAGCAATCTTAAACCAGCTCCAAATTTAAAATCCAATATGTTGGAGAGAAAAACAATATCCACTATGACAATTTGTAAAAGAAATATTGTCAATTTTTTTTTGTAATTTTTCCTCTCGATGTTGATTTTTGAGTGGCTACCTTTTTCTTTTTTAAAAAAAATAATAATTATCATGAGTCATGATAATTCATGGAAATTATTTAGTAGTAGAAGTGCATGTGAAGAGAAAAGGATAATGTCGAATTAAATTTAAAGGAAACAAATAAAGATTTAACCAATGGAGCTTTGAGTTCAAATATCAAATCATAGAAGTGTTCAAACTTATGTGAATAGCTTCAATTATTAGAGTTTGATTTTTCCAGAAAGGAAAATGGAACAGTAAAGGATTAAGGATTGGAAACCATACATACAGATCAAATTTCTGTTTGGTCAGTTGCTCCAACTATTTACGAATTAGCTTACATATGTGAGTTAAGTCAGTTGATTAAAATAGTGTATCAGCTCGTATTTTTGCAATTAAATTCGAATACCCCCACATAAATTAGTTCAAAACATATACCATCTTGTAAAAATACTTTGTTTAGAACTAATATGTATATCACAAAAGTAGAAAAACCTTCAACCATATAACAACGTGACTCAAAACTCATCTCACAAACATTGTTAGTTTTAGATTATTGTTTTTGTGTTTGTTACAACTATTACTCAGAGATTTTAATGTAACAGGTCAGAGGGGACAATGGTCAAATCACACGTGAGCAAGGGCACGTGATTCAACTGATCCAACTGCATGTTTACAAGCCAAGTACTTCCTTGCCATGAAAGTACTTGATCTCATGGATGTAACATGCAAGTCTCTAACTACCATGTTCCCACAAAACAAAACAAGAACCTCAGAAATTGTTTTATTTTATTTTATTTTATTTTTAATTTAAAAACAAAGGTCATGGAAACAGAAAAATTCAATTAAATTAAATTCATGAAGTAGTAACTAATCCAATTTGTTGTTGACTTCTCGTTTTATCTGATCAGGTGAGCTGCTGCTGTTACTGCTACTGCGGCTGTTATTCTGAACAACGCCGATATCAGTGAAACAGGTTTCCTTCTTCTTCCAATCATCAGGAACGGGAGCTGACGGCCACGACGATGATGATTCCTTTGCTGCAGAAATGGCATCAGCAAGAGCAACCGGCATGAGGCAGAAACCTTTGCTTTGGAGATGCTGCATTGCCTTGTCCGCATCTGATTCCATCAGCCTCACCAGCTGTTCTAAAGCAATTTCGTCAAAAGAAACGTCACCAGCTGTCCTAAACTGCGGCAAACCATTCCCGACCTGACATAGGTTCACTTGTCATCAATAATAGTTGACTTTTGTATTCTTATTTCTTAGCGCACAAGAAAATATGGGGGCTATTTCTTTTTTAGTATGTATGAGGCCTTTTTTCAGTTTCTTAGTAATAATGGATGACGATATATATTCTGCCTAAGAGTAGAATAAGACTCGAGCCATAAAATTTCTCGATTCTGAAACAAGGTAGTAAATTGGACCTCAGCACCTTGTCCATAGAGAGAGAGAGAGAGAGAGAGAGAGAGAGAGAGAGAGAGAGAGGGCTTAGCACCTTAGCTTGACTGTCTGTGGTGAGAGGGACAACTGCCCCAGCTGCCCCAACTTTGCACATGCTTAGTTCCTGCAAATCGTTATGTCAAGCACCAAATTATGTTTCAGTTTTTCTTACAGTGATTCGTGCAAATTTGCTCACCAAATTTAAGTAAATCGCTATCTTGTTTAAGGAAAAAAATGTATAGCATTAGCATTAAATATTTTGGAAAACTGATGAACAGTGTGTTTTATGACAACCCTATTTATGAAGCACGGGGTCGAAACTGTGAGTGAAGTTCTCCATCATACCTTGACTTGGAGCTGAAGAAATCTGACATACTCAATGATTTCATCAAGCATAGATGCCTTGTCGGTCTGCAAAATCATGAATGATATCAGTACTTCTCTAAGACCCAGCCGGAACTGATTACACAGGATGTATTTCAGCGTGAAACAGAAGAGCTTACCCTGTTAGACTTTGGCACTAGTTCTTGCAGATTCTTCATCCTATCAGAAATTTTTTCCCTCCGAAGCTGCAAACAAAGTGGACTTCAAAAATCTAACGGTTCAAAAAATAATGCATCGAAGAATCAAAACATTAAGTGAACTGCACAAGTAACCCTTTCAGCAATACTGTGTGGATCAGTAGCCTGGCCTCGACGTGCCCTCATTCGAAGCTTTCTATTTCCATTACATTCACCAACAGGGTTAGTTGACGTATTCTGCAAGTGAAAATTGTAAGTTTCTGTAATGCTTTCTGTTACGACTCAACAATCGACATGAAACACCTACCTTCAATAAAAATCCAAGAGGACAGTGGATTTAGGATAGGTACCTGTGGTAAAGACTGCAAACCAGACATCCGAGGAGCAGAAGCGAAGGAAGGCAAAGGATAATTTTGTACGTCCTGCATCCCCTTCTATATTACACAAGCGACAAGAGGAAAAGCATTTCAATTACCAAAAATATAAATAGCTAGATATTTCATCCAACCAGATATAAGTGAGCTAACTATGATTAAAGCTTGTGATAAACGTTAAACGTGTCGGTAATCACAGATTGATACCTCTGTGGAGACAAAAACAGCCAGGTTGTTGGGATCGCTTGGCATGACATAATCCCCATAATCTCCATTTATTCCAAAGCTGCACATTTTGCGTTGTCCCATGCCAGAAGCGGGAGCAGGAGAAACACCCTCATAAGATTGAAGAGGCCACGGTTGAGAAATTGGAGAAAGGGTTTCAAAATCTCCGTTGAATCCCTGGTAGAGGGGTGGTTCGAAGCTATCGCATCCCGCATTTTCCGGTGCAATGGAGCGAAGAGGTATTCTCACCATGTTCCCATCCACACCATAGTGCATGCCAATATTTTGAACCCGGCAATTTTTTCCACCATCTTGTGCATCTGGTGCAAAATCTTGAAGAATAGATGAAACATCTTGAGCAACCAAGCTCTCCAAACTGTTCGAATTAGTCAGATATGTAGGTGCACTATTGTTCTCATGTTCATCCACGGCAACTACTGAACCAAGAAGCGCTGCATTCGGTTGCTCAGATTCACAACATGCCCAAGATGGTATTTCCTTCGCATCGACATCTGACCACGATGAGGAACTGAAAATTTGATTAATGTACTTGTCCATCGTCAACAAGAACTGATCTTCTTCTTCTGTTCTGTTTTTTTCCTTATGTAAGTCAATGTTGAGCATACATACATACATACATACACACGCGCAAGAGAAAATCAGTAACCAGAAGTGTGATCCCTCATTGGCACTCAACTCAATAGAGAGACTACCGCATAAGAGAAGTCGCAAGGAACTCGTAGCTCATATGATGAAAAGTGTTTACCTTAACCGAAGTCCCGTGTTCAAATCCCCTTTCTCCAATAACGCTTATGTAAAAAAGAACATAGAAAAGAAGGCAAGAGAGTAGAACCAGCAGTTACAAGCAGTAATGTGCACCGAAAAGAAGAAAATTAATTTTAAGACTCACAAACTAAAACAGAAACCGCCCTTGTAGGCTTACAAATCAAGAGTATATTACCCTTTTGTGCACTGGTGTCAACCAGTGATTGGTCCATGATTTCAAAAAATTTCCTGTTGACTGTAGAACGTTACAGATATTTCAATAAGCTTTCAAAATTGCCGCAAAGTTAGCTCCGAAATCTCTCCAACTGATGCATGCATGCAGATGCAGTGCAGCAAATATAGGGCGTTCTGGTAATTTTGGCGGTGACAAGTGACTATCCGCCCCTGATAAAGCGGAGGGGTTTCGGCTCCTCTGGTTGTAGTGGGAGGTTCTTCCTTCACCACTTCCTTGTTGACCTTGTTGACCAACACAAACCTTCCCCACTGTTGGTCAAGGATATTTCAGTAATTCGATTACTAGCTCAAAATATTTGTGTACATATATTGCTGGTTGAGGTCGATTTTGTTGGGCTTCAATCAAAATAAAAAATTGGAGAAGACTTTGAGTGTCACAATGAGTAGACGGCTAGACATAGAGCTCGTTTGGATGTATTTTTAAAATGACTAAAAGCGCTTTCAATCATTTAAAAAGCACATTCAAACGAGCCCGTAATCTCGTAGACTATAGTATTGAAACAGAAGCACTAGAAATATCTTTGATCATTTTGTATGTTTTTGGCACGATTTGCCGTTGAAAACGAGATTGAGTCTTGATGGGGAACAAAACCAAATGGAGGGTTACCTGGAGAGTTGATTGCATTTGGTTTTGTTTTCCATCGCTCGCTGAATACTGAAGGATTAGTGAACATGACATTCTTACATGCAACCGTGGAAATATCCCCCATCACCCTATTTCACTCTTCGTGTGGCTTGATAGGGTGACGGGGAGAGGATGGAAGCCATTGGAAACACCTGAAAGTAAACCTTACAACTGCTTAGAAGTCAAAATTGAATCGAAGATATATCCGAATCGAAAACTCACAGGAACTATGAGAACTGAGAAGTACAAGAAAATTGAGAAAATTGAGATATCGAGATATCGACAATTTTAAGTTAAATTTTCTTGAAAAGCATTCTAATAAGAAAGCAAATATGTAAAGTACTTTCAAGTCACTTGTTGATTTATCAACAAATGTCTGCAATCCAGATTTGTGTTGGTTTAAACCACCGTTTGGCGCTCTAAAACTTTCTTCGACATTCATTGATAAATTACAATATTTGAAGTACCATCCTAACCTAGATTGTAGAGCACTTCATCTACCCCCACAACTAGGACAATAGTGATCACGAATGTTCTCTAAAACGTCTCCACATCTGTAGCAGAAAGCAGTTCTGCACCTGTAATCAACGCAAAGAAACAGAAATTCAAAGAAAATTCAAGAATTTACCGAACAAAACAGGCTGAAATAGTGTTGAGTAATTTGTACATATCTAGTTCAATGTCAAACAGTCACGCTTCCAATGAAGCTGAGCTGAAGCTGAGGGGAGCAACTATGCCAGTTATTATGTCAATCTATCATCACAGTTCTGCTCCCTATTATTACAAATCTAGTTAAATGTATCAAGGCATGGCAGCCGTATTTCTACATCTCCCTCATCAGAACTCCAGATTGCTCCTCATTTCGCCATCCAATTTGAAGAACAAAGCCAAAGGATTCTAAAGATAGGAAATTTAGCTCAAACTCATTTCCTATTTGAGATCATAACCTTAATGGAAGTGCCAGAAAGCCATCAATTCCTCCAAAAGGTACTCAAGGGTAGATGGTTTCCAATCATGTGACTTTCGGGGAGTCAGCAATTGCTGTTTTTAGAGGTTGAATGAGAGATCGAAGTGAGGAATCTATTTTGTATTGTTGGTGCTTGGTATATAAAATTTTGCGGAAATGGTATATGGCAAAGCAATCCAATTCCAAGTGATTCAATTATATCAGCAATAATCAACGTCAGGAGATTTACACAACAAACAATGAAATTTTTATAGCACATGAATAATCAAGTAGTAATTTCAACAAACAATTGAAGAAGCATAGCAGGTAAAAAACTGACCTGCACATCATGAACATGCAACCCATCGATTTTTCCACATAGAACCTACATTTGGGGCATCTTCTCCATTGTTGCTTCTGCGCAAGGTTCTTCAACATGATATCCTCCCTTTCCCTCTCATCCTTATTCAACTTTAGAAACTCCTCGCATTCGATCCCCTCGTGCCAAGGAGCCTTACACTGAGCACAGAACATTCTCCAACAATTTGGACACGCTGATTGCCTCACAACCTCTTTCCCATCATCAATCAACATTGCAGAGCACTCCTTATAGGGGCAGTAGAATTTCTCTGACCCAAGAATCACAGCCTCACACAATGCGGTTCCCCACTGGTCAAACACCTCCGGAGGTAGAATCGGCCGGCAATACTCCGGCTCCAGCAACCCTATACAATCAGGAACAGGGCACCTAATGCTGGTAATGTTCTCTTGAAGCTTGGAGGCCACGTACTTAACCATACACTCAGTACAATAACCATGGCTGCAGTTTTCGATCCGAAACGACTCGATTCCCGACTTGGGTTCGACGCAGATTTCACAAACGAAATCCGGGTCATTTTTGGAATTTGAAGATTGCCCTGATTCGGTCACGGAAAAATCCGAAAATAACCCTTTTCCTCTCTTTCCGAAGGGAGTTTTCGAGGGTTTAAACCTAAGAATTCTGAGCTCCTCGTCACCGTCGTAGAAGTCTAGGGTTTCTTCAGAAAGGTCGATAAAGTTATCGGCTTCGGCGGGAGTAGGCACCGATTTGAGCAAAGAAGCCGTGATCGATCGGAGGCCTCGGTCTTCGTCGTCGACGTTGATGGGGTTGGTTGAAGGATTCCGCGAAGTGGGTGTGAAGCTGAAGGTGTCGTCTTCAATGTCGATAAAGTTGATGCGAGAGTGAGAGTGAGACGATAGTGGGTTCTCCATCTTAGCTTCCTTTCTTCTTCTCATCGGCTGCCACTGACACAGATTGTGAGGCTTTTGGATGCTCTCTGTCTCTCTGTCTCTCTGTCTCCGTCAATTGGAGCTTTCCGTATTTATTCTATGCATAATTAATTAGATTATTATCCTTAAAAAAGTAAATGTCTCATTAAATCCTGGTGTAAGATTGAGGAAAACGACCTTTTCCTCGTCGGATCCTTTTCTTGGAGAGGCAAAGGATTCGGGTGGTTCATTATACATTATGCAATTAGAAATTATATAAAATTTAAAATTTAAATATAAATAATACTTAATAAAAATTGATCGTATTGTACATAAAATGATATGATTACGGAATTTTTGTGATTCCTTTTATATAAAATTTAAATATAAATAATACTTAATAAAAATTGATTGTACTGTACGATAAAATGATACGATTACGGAATCCCTGTGATTCCTAAAAAAAGAATTGATATTTTTCCTAAGATTGAATATTGACTTGAGTCCTTTTGAATTAAATATTATTTTCCTATGTTTTGGCTGATAATTATTAACTTTTATTTCATTTGGATAAGAAGTGATTTTCAATTTATAGCCTAATTGGTGCTTGATAAATTTTAAACTTTCTTATAATCTGAGTTTTGGCTTATGTTTTCTATATTTATGTACCTCTACGTATGGACCTAAATTATGGTACCTACATGTGTGTATTTACAATATGGTACCTATATGTGTGAACTGATAAGTTTATCTTTTGTACATATGTGCCTAAATTTTACTTATAAGTTTTTGTATGTGATTTTCATCTTTTTCTCATTCTTTGAGATCATCACTAACATGTCAATGGCTCGAAATGGTAAGTGATTATTTTGTGTGTTTATGAAATGTTTCTACTTTTATTATAATATATTTTTCTACACCAATGATGATTGCTTATGGTAACAATTTGAATTTAAAATCAATTGGTAAAGCTACTTATGGACGTGTTTAAATTTTATTAAGACAACATTTGTAAATAGGGAAATTGGTGAAGCTAATTAATATGATGTGCAATTAAGAATTAAAATAGGGATTAAATTAGATTTATAAAATCATCCAATCTAATCTAAACATTATTTTATTTAGGTTCTCAAGTCTGCATGTCCTTTTCCTTTATAAAAATAAAAAAAATAAAAAAAACCTTCACGGATTGTTGAGAAATTGAAACAAGAAGGTTTGTTTGGTTTGGTTTGGTGTTTTTCTTTTTTTCTTTTTTTTTTCTTTTTTTTTCAGGCAAAACGATAGCAGGGGTATTTTAATATAACACAAATTGTATTTGTTTTGGAATGTTCATATATTATAACACAATTGTATGAGTATTGGAATCATGGTGCCCCCAATTAAATAGGAGTCTCCCGATAAGAAAGATTTTTTTTTTTAACAAACGATATTATCTACAAGTAAAAGGTCTTAAGCATGAGTTTTTTCAAGCGAAAATGTTTGGCTTTAAAACCTTGATTATTTTTTTGTTCAAAAAAAAAAAAACTTTGATTGTTTGCAAGCGGTGGATTTGTGTTAAGGTGTTTCTTTTCAATGTACTGTGTTTGAGTCTAAACACTCCTCCATCCCATCTTATGATAGAATATTGTTTGTAATTAAGAAAATCTTGATGGTTGAAGGAGAATCTCATGTTTTACTCAAGCTTTTGTAGGATAAAAAAAACCCTCATTGGAAAATTTTGACATTCTATAATATACTGAGAGGATTATGTCAAATTTACAAATTGTTCAACCTCAACATGTGTTTTGAGAAGCAAATTTGGTGGCAAATTAGCAGGGTTA